AACTGTGCTTCTGATCCTAAATTGTAAGCTGTTAACTTCCCTAAGAACCCTCATAATCATGAAGATGGTCTATGAGTTGTGGGTGATGATAGCAATGGATTGTCAAACCCAGCAGAGAAGCAGAATGTGCCGGGTAGGACAGTTAGTATCAGAACTGGTAAAGGATGGAGGGTAGAGATATGTCTCACCTTGAGCTGACGCTGAGTTTGATTTGCCTTCCCCCTTGTGAAGTCAGGGGTCAGAAGCCACCTTGACACCACTTTTATAGCTTCACGCGAACAAAACCCTACACTATGTACTCCGGTCTAAGGCTTTCTCATTCATTTTCGAGATTCACCCACATTGTTTGCCTTTGCCTGTTGTAGTTGTTAGATGCTATTAAGTGGGCTCCAACTCACATCAACCTTATGTCCAACAGAAGGGAATGTTTCCTGGTCCTATGCCATCTTCATGATCTTTTGTAGCAGTTAAGTGTTGGCCCATTTCATGAAGGGGTTTATTCTACTTTGACAACCATGATACAACTTTTTAGCAGTTGGTCTTTCCTGATGACATGTCCACAGTAAGTCAGCCGAAGTCTTCCTCCTCACTTCTACAGCTGTTTTATTACTGAAAAGTATTTGACTGCATGAATATGCTACCATGTGTTTATTCACTTTACTGGTGAGGGACACAAATGCTGTTTTCAGTTTGGGGTTCTTATGAACAAAACAGATAGGGATATTCTTGAGACAGTTTATTTTGTGAACATTCAGAGATTGCCTGGGCCGTTGGGTAAACAAATGTTTAGTGTTTGAAACCATCAGGCTATTTTCTAAAGCCATTCTTATCACTTTGTCCTGCCAAAGATGTCACTTTGATGACGAAAGTGCGCCTAACTCAAGCCATTATCTTTTCAATCACTTCCTATGAATGTGGACACTGAGCAAGGAAGACAGGAGAAGAAGTGCTGAATCTGAACGGTTGGTTGCTGCCATGTTGGTGAAGAATACTGAGTGTACCCTGGACTGCCAACAGAATGAATCAGTCTCAGAATCAGAATGTTCCTCAGAAACCAGGATGGCAAGACTTTGCCAAATAGTCAAAATAGATTTGACTATTACTTTGGACATGCTAGCAGGAAAGAGCAGTTACTAGAAAAGAACATCTTCTTTGTTAAGTGGGGGGCCAATTACAGTGGGGAACCCTCTCAGAGATGGGCTGGCAGAGCAACCACAATGGACTCAGATACAACACTGATGCTAAAGGTACCAAACGGCAGGGCACAGTCTCCTGTTGTGCGTAAGGTCAATATGAGTAGGAGCCAACTCAACGGCAATCCACAATATTCCTGGAACAACATATGAACCATGCTGTTGTTTTTAATGGTTGTATAATATTTTGCGGTGGACACACCACAGCTGACTTAAAAAATAAAGAACCCAGCATGGGTGAGTCTGGCATGCTGGGTTGTTTCTTTTTCCCCCCATTTGTTGTTGTTATTAGGTGTCATTGAGGTGGTATCGACTCATAGCGACCCTATGCACAGCAGAACAAAACACTGCCCGATCCTGGGCCAACCTCACTACTGTTGCCACGCCTGAGCCCATTGATGCTGCCACTTGGCCAATCCATCTCGTTGGGGGTCTTCCTCTTTTTCTCTGACCCTCCACCTTACCAAACATGATATCCTTCTCCAGTGACTGCTCCCTCCTGACAATATGTCCAAAGTATGAGAGACAAAGATCAGCCATCCTGGCCTCCAAGGAGCACTCTGGCTGCACTTCTTCCAAAGCAGATCTATTGATTCTTTTGGCAGCCCATGGCATTTTCAATATTCTCCTCCAACACCACAACTCAAAAGCATCAATTCTTCTACAGTCTTCCTTATTCACTGTCCAGCTTTTGCATGCATATGAGGTTATTGAAAATATGGCTTGGGTCAGGCGCACCTTAGTCCTCCAGCTGACATCCTTGCTCTGCCAACACTTTAAAAAGATCTTGTGCAGCAGATTTGCTTAATGCAATATGTCGTTTGATTTCTTGACTGCTATTTCCATAAGTGTTGATAGCTGATCCAAGAAGAATGAAGTCCTTGACAACTTCAATCTTTTCTCCATTGATAAGAATGTTCCCTTAAAAGCCTGCAGGCTGCTTAAAACACCAAATTGTACTAAGGATGATGTGCCTGGGCACCTAGTAGAATTTCCTCCTGAAGAGAATGCAGAAACTGAATTACTGGGAGTAAAAAGCAGGATCAATTTTATGTTTCAGCAAGGAACCCAGCTTTGCAAAAGAAGTCTTACAGTGATTGGCAGCTCACACCTCAGCATGAATGGCTGACGATCTCAAATACCACTGGGCAAGGATCCCATGATGCTTCTGCCCAGCCACGCTGTGACTAGCTCGGCAGACTTTTCTCAGCTTTGAGAAGGATTGTCAACATAAATTGAGGGTTACCTTTTTGGTTGTTTTCTTCTCATACTGCAAATATCGGGGTTCAATCATTCTTCCTCCTGTGGGGAGACAGACAGACAAAATCTGCTTCTAACATAAACTGAAAAAAACGACCACGAGGACTCAACAGACCCCTGACCCTTGGCCATCAGGAAGCTGGGCACTCAAACAGCAGGAACAGAGGAACTGCTCCTCTTGACACCATCATATGTGTCCTTTAGCAGCTTTTATGGGACAGCTATCATCTACGAGAACATTAACAAGGAAAATCAGCTGTATGAGCTCCGGTAGCGGAGTGGTTACAAATCGGGCTGCTATCCTCTGGGCCAGCAGTTTGAAACTGCCAGCTGTTCCGCGGGAGAAAGATGAGGCTTTCTGTTCCCGTAAAGATTTACAGCCTTGGAAACCCTGTACAGGGTCACTATGAGTCAGAACTGACTCCACGGCACATAACAACAGGTGGCACAAACCCATCTAGCTAATGACCAAAAGGTCAGTGGTGCAAATCCATCCAGAAGCACCTATGAAGGCAAGCCTGGCGATCTGCTTCCAAAAGGACACAGCCTTGAAAACTCTCTGGGACGGCTCTACACTGCACACATGAGGTTGCCCTAAGTCTGAATCAACTCGACAAGAATGGGCTTTCTATTTTTTTTTTTTTTCTCACAGATGTAATCTGGCTGCTCACCTCAGGGTCAGCAGTTCGAAACTACCAGCTGTTCCATGGGAGAAAGATGAGGCATTCTGCTCCCGTAAATATTTATAGCCTTGGAAACCCTGTCCAGAGTCACTATGAGTCAGAATCGACTCCACTGCACATAACAACAACAACATATATAAGAATGTTTACAGAACACTTAGTACATGCAAGAACCTGGGCTAAGGGTACCGTCTATCCAATAGGGAGCTATGATCAAAGACTACTGACTGGACATCAAATCCAAAAGTAGACTTTATGCAAGGCTGGGGTGGGAAGCATCTACCCCTCCAGTGCCTCTGTTTGTTTTTCCTACCCCCCAGCTCACTCCCTATGTAGCCCCTCGCCCCATTAGTCTCCAAAACCCATCCTTCTGCTTCCCTCCCTGGGTCTTATCCATTCCCTGTTATACCCACCACCCTCCGACTTGGCTCCACCCTTTCTGCCTTTCCACTAGTGAGTTTGCTGGGCTCCACCTGCAGGTCTCCTGGAACCCCCACCTGGCAGCATGAATGAAAAGTCACTTTTTCAAAAACACTGGGTTGTGAGGCAGATCCCGACTTTGCTCACCTTGTACTCGTTTTCCTTTGGGTTTCGCACCACTAGGGGTATTGGAACCTGCTGGCGATGGCTTCCTAGAAAAGAAGGTCCTTGTATCTCATTATGGGTTAAATTGTGTGTACCCCTAAATTTGTGAAGTCCTAACCCCCTAAGGAACTCTGGTAGCATAGTGGTTACGAGTTGGGCTGCGAACCTTAAGGTCAGCAGTTCGAAACTACCAGCTGTTCTGCGGAAGAAAGATGAGTCTTTCTGGTCCTGTAAAGATTTACAGCCTCGGAAACCCTATACAGGGTCGCTATGAGTCAGAACCGACTCCACAGCACATAACAACAACAACAACCCCCTGTTGTTGTTAAGTGCTGTCAAGCCGGTTTCGATTCACAGCGACCCTATAGAGGGTTTCCGAGGAGCAGCTGATGAGTTTGAATCTCCGACCTTGCGGCCCAGTGCTTATCCTATAGTGCCATACCAGGACTCCTATACCTGTGAATATATCTGTGTTTGGAAACAGGCTTTCTTTGGTTAACAGGGTCATACCAGGTTAGGGTGGGTCCAAACCCTAGTCCCTTCTGGTGGTGTCATCAAAAGTGCAGAACAGACAAAGCAGCAGAGACAGTGAAGAGGCCATGCGAAGGCAGGGGCAGGTACGGGTGCAAGTTCAGGAACTGCGCCCGATGGGTTGCCAATGGGTTGTAGGCAGCTACTAGTATTGAAAGAGAACAGGAATTCCCTCCCCTTAGACCTTCCAGCCTCCTGATCTGTGAGGAAATGGGTTCTGGTTTTGAAAGCCACCATGTGTACTGTTTGTTATGGCAATCCTAGAAGACTAAGGCATACCTTATTGAACAAGCAGCCGTAGGAAACATGTGAAGTACCTCGGTGAGCCCAAAGCTTGGGCTTCTCAGAGCCCAGATCCAGTAGCCCCCCACCCAACCCGTGCTGATTCCTACAGGGCAGGTCAACCAACAGGAACAGCCCCGGTCACAAGGGGTAACGCGAGTACCAGAGGTGAACAGTGTCCCTCCAAAAGCTGTGCCCACATTCTAACTCCCGGTCCCTGTGCACAAGACTGTGTTTGCAAACAAGGTCTAGAGGAGATGTTCTCAGTCATACTGGAGTAACCCAACCCAACCTGCTGCTGTCTAGTCAATGGTCCACTCCCGGCAACCCCATGTGTTATAGAGTAGCCTGCTCCATGGAGTTTCTCCGTCAGAATCTTGACAGAAGCAGACTGCCAGGGCTTTCTACTCTAGGACAGGTGGATATGTTCAGCCCCCAACTTTTCAGTTAGTTGTTGCTCTTAAGTGCCGTAGAGCAGGTTCTGACCCATAGCGACCCTATATGGGGAAGATGGTCTATGCCAAAATAACTCTGAAGAGCTAAAAGGTTCAGACCTGTTTCTCTAACAGTCCTGGGGTCAGCAACGTTTTCCATGGGGAACAGAGTAAACAGTGCCAGCTTTGTGAACCAGATAGTCTCGGCCATGTCTGCTGAACTATGCTAGTATACATGTAAATAGTTAGATGCTGCATAAAGAAATGAGGGTGGCTGTGTGCCAATAAAACTTTACTCACACACAGACATGGACATCGACATTTCACATGTCAGAAAGTAGTCTTTTGATTTTTTTTTTTTACAGCCATATAAAAATGTAAACACAGTTTTGGGCTCGCTAATTGTATATAAGTAAGGGCTTCGGTGTGCAGCCTGTAATTGGCTGACCCCTGCTACAGACAATGAGGGACAAGGAAGGGCTTGAAGCCAGCCACAGACAAGGTGGACCACATTTCACAAAGACCAGTGGCAGCCAGAAGCTAGGCTCCACAAGCTCTTGGCAAGTGCGGGCGACTCCTTATCTGTCTGCTCACTGTTAAGTTGCCACCACCTGCACAGAGTGAAATCAGTTGCCTTCAAGTCAGTTCCAATCCCTGGTGACCCCATGTGTGTCACAGTAGAGCTGTGCTCCATGGGGTTTTCAGTGGTAGATTTTTCAGAAATCGATTGCCAAGTCTTTCTTCTGAAGCAGGAAGGGATGATTCTAACTTCCAATTTTTTTGGTTAGCATCCAGGGACAGGAACTGTTTACACTATCCAGGGATGCCTCAAGCACTTGTCACTGAATCAATGCTGACTTTGGTGATCCCAAGTTGCAGAGTTGGGAGGAGTCTGTAAATACCCACCAGACATTTGTCATGGTCATCTGTCTGCTGATTGTGCTCCCAAGCTCGATTGTATCCCACTTTGGAGTGCTCCCAAGCTCGATTGTATCCCACTTTGGAGGTCTTCAGAGCCCCCACCAAGGGAAATCCCACTGCTGCATTGAGCGGCTGCATTAAGCAAATGAAGTTGGCCCAGTGAAAGTGCCAAGGCCTGGTCCCCGCCCCTGGGCTTGCCCTACCCTGCGCTTCTGGTGTGTCTGTTCCTGGCATCTTCTTCTGCCCACTCGCCCAGACTGGAAACCTGGGAGTCATCCCGGACTGTCCCGCGCCTGCTGCTAGTGAGTCAGCGGTTCCGGCCTCACAGTCTCTCTCTCCTGTTACATCACACCTCCTTCTGCTTAAATTGAGAGTTGCTTAACCATTTTATGATGGAACAACTCAGGAAAGGATAGTGAGAATAAATGCACACCTTGAAGAATACTATCCATCAACGTCACGGAACAGGACATGTGGAAATTGGTGAATCGGCATAGGTTTCGTCATATATATTTTCACAACTCAAAGGGGGGAAAACGTAACTACCTTACAGTGAGCAATGTAGTGGCATTTAGTACATTCATAACATCGGGCAACCACCACCTCTACTTCATCCCAGCATATTCTCATCATTGCAAACAGAAACCACATACCCTCCCCCTCCCCCGGCAGTCACTCCCCACTCCCGAGCCCCACAGAGCTCGTGTCAGACTGGACAACTACTATTACACTTTCTGGGTTGGCACTGTAGGATAGGCACTTGACTGCTCACCACACGGTTGGCGGTTCAAACTCACCAGTGGCTCCTTGGAAACCCTATACAGAGTTGCTATAAGTCAGAACCAATTCGACGACACTTAACAATAAGCACCCCTATTCCACTTTCTGTCTCTGGATCTGCTTGTTCTGGACATTGCATAGAAATGGAATCAGAAACTGTGTGGCCTTTTTTATGCCTGGCTTCTTTTACTGAGCTTCATTCAGGGTTTTGAGGTTCATCCATGGTGTAGCGAGCTGTTGTTAGGTGCCATGGAGTTAGCTCTAACATGTGACAATCAAGTGTCAGAGGAGAACTGTGTTTCAGGGGTTTTAATGGCCTTTCTTTCCAGGCGCCTCTCGGTGGACTCAAACCTCCAGTTTTCTGGCTAGCAGCCAAGCGTGTTCACCATTTGCATCACCCAGGGGGCTCCTAGCACAGGCTACAGTCTCAGGAATATGTGATGAGCATTTCTGCACCAGTTAGGAACTGCTGTCGCTCCTCATTGTACCCCGATGTCTAGCAGGCAGGATTTAAAAACAATCATTTGTTGTCTGACTAACCCAGAGGCACCACTAGATTTTGTGGCGTTGTAGGATAAACACTGAACTGCTAACCACAAGGTCAGTGGTGCAAACCCACCAGCCGTTCCTTGGAAACCCTATCCAGGATCATTATAAGTTGGAACTAACTGCACAGTACTTAACAACCACAACAGAGGCATTTAACAGAGTCCTGGTGGGGTACTGTAGCATAAGCTAATCGCACGGTTGGCAGTTCAAACTCACTAGTCGCTCCTTGGAAACCTTACACAGAGTCGCAATGAGTCGGAATCGACTCAAAGGCACTTAACAACATTAGGGGCCCCTGGGTGAACTTAACCCTCCAACAGGGGCATTTAACACTATCTGGCGACATTTCTGATTGTCACAGCTGGTAAGAGAAGTGCTCCTAGCACCAGGGATGACTGGAAGAAAAGCCTGGCAATATACATCTGGAAAGCGAGCCACTGAAAAGCCCTCTGCATCATAGTGAGTTCTCCATGAACTCACTCAGGGAGGGCAGGACTTTCTTTACCTTGTAATTCTGTTGTGTCCTCAGCACCTGGCTCACCTCAAATACTCAATAATAACAGTGGCCAAAGAACAAGACAAACGCTGCCCCAGAATCAGGCCTGGAACCAGATAAGCATTCAAGATCTCTTGTTTGCAAATGTTTGCAAATGACTCCATCATCTTATCTGTAAATGGGAGGACAGAATAACGGGGCTGGGAGGATCAAAGGAGATACGCAACCTTTTAATTGTCCGTAATTAAGGAGCTCTGGAAGCGTAGTGGTTATGAATCAGGCTGCTAACCTCTGGGTCAGCAGTTCGAAACTACCAGCTGTTCCGAGGGAGAAACATGAGGCTTTCTGCTCCCGTAAAGATTTACAGCCTCGGAAACCCTGTACGGGGTCGCTAAGAGTCGGAACCGACTCCACGACACATAACAACAACAAAATAAAGTTAATTTTACTAATAACCACCACTCATTTGTTCCGGGGCCTATACAAGTCTGACAGAGAAGACTTGTGATGTTGAATGACTGTTATCAGCCCATTTCGCAGCGGAGGAACGCGAAGCATAGAAAGAGGAAACATTTGATCCAACCTCGCCCCTCAACTAGGCTACGGCCCCGGAATTAGAAGTTGCGTCCTTAGTATTCGAATTTGTGGGCCCGGGACTGGAACACATAGCCTCCGGATTCGAACTTATGTTCCTTAGGGCGCCCGCGCCCCCCGAACATGCGCAGAAGCAGCGTGAATGTCCGGGCCTGCGATTACCAGAAGGTCCTCGACAGAGACGCAGCAGCTTCGACCCGAGGGCCCTCGCCCCACAGTTCTACAGACCCCTCTCCTCCAGACCTCGATCGCAGCCGTCCCTCCAAATCTAACTCCGGCACCCCAACTCACCCACAGCCACGCACTGAGGAATCCGCCATTTTCCCGCCTTCAGCTCGAAGGCAGGCTCCTCGAAGCCGGCCACGCCCCTATGTCCCATTCCACAACCGCAGGAGGGGTGACCGTGAACCGCAGACTCCGGAAAACACGGGCTGCGTGAACCGTTTAAGTCCTCTACGTGTTCATTTCCCCCGCTATCCTTCAAACTTGGTCTCGCCCACAAGGTGGGGCGGGGAGGCGGAGGCGGAGGACGGGCCTGAGGAGGTGTGGTTTATTTCTCCCCGCCCCGAAAGCGCGCTGGCGCTACGCCCCCAACACCTCCCCTCCGGAACCCGGAAGCAGGCGCCCGAGGGGGAGCGGCGGGCGCGGCTAGGCGGAGCAGTGGAGTAGCTGCGGGCGGCCGGCGGTTGCCGGCGGGCGGCGAGCGGGCCCGGGATCACGGCGCGCGGCGGCCGAGGCCCTGGTAAGTGCTGAGCGCGCGTTGGGCGGAGGTGTTTGCTCGAGGGGCTTGTCGGGAGGAGGAGAACGGCTGGTGAGGGGGGGCCAAGGCTGAGCGCTTAAAGGAGACGTGGAAGCAGAGGCTGGGGGGCGGGAACGAGACTAAGGGTCGTAGAGGGGCTGCAGGGTTATCGGTCCGACAGGAACGAAAAAGGAGGAAGCTGATGGAGTCCGGGGTGGCCCTGATGAGGTTGGAGAGGGAGTTTAGGGGTGGAGAGAACTTGTGGGTTTGAGCAACTTCTCAAGGAGGACGTGGCTTGAGGGGGGAGTTAGAGGGTCGCAGGAAACGGGGCTGGAAGGAGGAGGAGGTAAGAAGGCGGGGTGGAGAGGCCCGGGCTGGGGGAGAAGTGCTAGGCGGCTTAGTGGGACAGCCGGGGTGCTGTAGGGGAAAGGGATACAGGAACAGCCTGGGGGCGCTGCCGCGGTTCAAGGCTAGAGGCAGAGTGTATGAGGCTGAGGGCGGCGCCTGGCACCTCGGGGGTGTGCAAATGTCGGCGGTTTGAGCCCACTGGAGTGGCCGCCTGTTACTGGGGAGGGGGCAAGCTGGCCTTGGGAGGGAAGAAGAGATGGTAGAAGCATGGTTGGAACTAAAGGGAGGGCCTGGGGGGAGGGGGGAAGAGGAGAGAGTAGTTTGTACTGCAGCGTTGGGAGATCGGATCCCTTCCCTTTTGATTCATCCCGCACCGCTGAATGACTGGGCCCGGTCTCCGGGTCCTGAAAACTTGAGCAGCCACTTCACTCTTCTTCTAAGACAGATCTGGCTGGAGTCTGGGGTCCCAGTTGGGTTGCGTGGTGAGAAAGAAGCCCCAGCAAAGGGATAGGTCTGGTTGGCGTCTAGGGTCCCCAGCAGCCTCCTAGTGAGGAAGGAGCCCCGGGGACAGGTCTGGCTGAAGTCTGGGGTCCCAGCTGCCAGTGAGGAAGGAGTTGCTGGCTCCCCAAGGAAGGGCCGGAAGTGGGTTTCAGAATGGGGGGGGGGGCAGTGTGCGCTTACCTCTGTGGGGTTGCATCCTTGGACTTAAATGGGTAAAACTGCAGACAGGAAATCTGCCTCCGGTGTCGGCCTGAGCTCCCACAATAAAGGCTTAGCGGCCAGACCTGCTTTCCCGGGTGCCCATACACAAGGGACCTACTGATGCAAGGCCTAGTCCACCCCTTTTGTCCCCCTGGAAATGCAGCTGACGTGGGAGCTGACAGGGACTCTGTGTCTCCTAGTGGGAGGGCCCCAGCGCCCACCTTTCCCACGTTGTCTCAAGGAGCTCAGGAATAGTGGGAAGTGACTTCCACGGCTCTAAAAAAAGTTGCTTCAGCATCTGATTAACCCTGTGGGTTTTAAAATACCCTCAGATTTTCCTTGCTGGGGCCTGGCTCTGTTGTCTTCTGTCAGGCACCTCATTGGGTCAGGAGTTTCGATCTACGTTAATTTTTCTCCCTCCATCTGTGGGGATCCTGGTGGAGCAAAGGGTGACAGCTCTACTACCACTAGCCAAAAGGTTTCAACCCACCCAAGATAAGCCCAGTGGTCTGCTTCTGAAAGGTCACAACCTTGGAGACTTTGTGGAGCAGTTCTGCTCTACACACGTGGAGTCTTCAGGAGTGGGAACACACTCAGCCAAAGACTGCTAGAGAGCTTGGTTTTATAGCCCACTCAGAACATGAACCTGGATCATTAAAAGTAAAGAAAGTCCCTGAGGCGGAACCACCTCCTTTGTTTCCATGTGGAAGGACCCAGGATACATGATTCAAGCCCCCAATAGTATGTTCTTCAGACACTAAATTTGGATTGGGGCACAGTGACAAACATGGCAGACAAGGTCCCTACCCTCACCAAGCTCATCTTCCCAGTCTACATATGCCCATCCCTGCCCCCACCCCACCCCTACTGCCTAGCCCAGAATCAGAAGCGTGGCCAGGTGGGGGCCCTGGGGAACCGCCATGTTGAGAGTCCTATTGTATGTCAAATCGATTCCAACTCATAGCGGAGAGTTTTCTAGGCTGTGATCTTTACAGGAGCCCATCACTGGGTCTTTTCTCTCCAGAGCCACCGGGTGAGATCAAACTGCCAGCCCTCCAGTTAGCAGCCTACCCAGGCTCCTTTTAGAGGTCTTGACCTTGGAGAGTTCTGTTTGACTCTTTCTTTGCTTGTAAAATTTGTGGGATGACCTTACTGAGTATTTCTCATCTTTGATACCCAACCCTTCTTGACAGCCATAGTGTTGTCTCTCATGCACCCCTACTCAGATTTGCCATAGCCCCCGGACTCATAAAGTCACCGAATCACTCTTACAATGATCTCTATCTTGGTCAGCTTCCAGTTCTGCAGCTGATATCCCAGAAATGATCTTTCATTGCTTCTTTATTTCCCAAATAGAAAATTGCAGGGTTGAGCATGTTTTTGCAAGTTGCACCTGTTCCCAAAGCTTGAGTGCATCCTTCTGACTGGAAATCCCTGGGCCAGACCCTCCCAGAGGTCCTTTCCAGCCTTTACTTTATGCAATGTGGTGAAGCAGGTTGGGACTGCGGAATGTCCCTTTTCTCTTTGACTCTGTTGTTAAGTGCCATCTAGTCAGTTCCAATTCATAATCACCCTGTATAGCAGGGGTGAAGAAGCTTTTTTTCTGCCAAAATTTATAGCATCATTCACAACCCATACAAAATTATCAACTTAAAAATTAGCCTGCTATATTTGGTCAAACATTTAATTAACTCAGCATGGTAGTTACAAATCGGGCTGCTAACCTCAAGGTTGGCAGTTCAAAACTACCAGCGATTCCGCAGGAGAAAGATGAGACGTTCTGCTCCCGTAAAGATTTACAGCCTCGGAAACCCTGTGCAGGGTCACTATGAGTCGGGACCGACTCCACGATACTTAACAACAGCGATGTGATGACTGGAACTGCGGTTGCCTTGGCAGGGCCAGACCAAATGATTTCAAGGGCTTATAAAGCCCACAGTCTGCACATTCCCCACTGTTTCTTTATAGGATTTCCAAGGAGTTAGTGGCTGGTGGGTTTGAACCACTGACCTTGTGGTTAGCTGTCCAGTAGGGAACTTGTTAACCTGCAGCTTTCCTTCCTCATCTCCCAAAGGGCCATGATGGGTCTTGGATGGGCCCAGAGATCAGTGAAGCAAGAGCTGGTAGTTCCTGGGCTGGGTCCCTGGGACATAGATGCCTCCTCAAGAGGAGGGACATTCTGGTGGAGACCCCCTTGGAAATAATGGAGTTTGCAGAGATGGCCCAAGATGATGTTAAGGTAGAGTCGGGGATACCCCGTGCAAGCTTTGGAGCAAGGGGGATTCCAGCAAGTTTCCATGGAAGAGGTGGCTGGCCCCAAGCCCAGTCTTGAAGGATAACGTCTTGCTGTGGAGTTCATTGTAAATCTTGGCGACCCCAGGTATTACAGGGCAGGTGGGCGCTCCATAGGGTTTTCTTGGCTTTACAGATGCAGACCAACGCGACTGTGTTTTGCAGTTCCTCTGGGTGGCTTTGAACCTCCCACCAGTACACTGGTAGTTGAGTGCAAACCCTTTGTGCTGCTCAAGGCCTTTAAACCTGTTGTTTTGAGTCAGTTCCATCCCTGTGCATTACAGAAGAACTGAGCTAGCTCCAAGGGATCTTCTTGACTGTAATCTTGACAGAAGCAGTCTCTTAGTCAGTGGTGGTGATATGCCGTGGAGTCGGTTCCGACTCAGCGACCCTGTACAGGGTTTCTGAGGCTGTAGATCTGTACGGAAGCAGAAAACCTCATGCTTCTCCCACGGAGCAACTGGTAGTTTCGAACTGCTGACCTTGCGGTTCACAGCCCGATTTGTTAACCACTACTTGTTAAGTGCCGTCAAGTCGGTTCCAACTCATAGCAACCCTGTATAGGGTTTCCAAGAAGTTGCTGGTGGGTTTGAACTTCCCACCTTGTGGTTTGCAGTCCAGTGCTGATTCTACAGCACCACACCAGGACTCTAGGGTGGTTGTTGTTGTTAAGTGCCGTCAAGTCAATTCTGCCCCCCAGCGACCCTGTATAGGGTTTCTGAGGAGCAGCTGGTGAGTCTGAACTGCCTATGTTGCAGTTCAAACGGCTTTGCAGTCTGGCACATTAACCCACAGTGCCACACCAGGACTCCAGGATTCTAGGGTAGCGTCAGTCAATTCTTAATCTCTAGGGAGCACATCTTGCTGAAAGGAAACCAAAGGAGAAGTAGGCTCAGCACTGGACTGCAAACCACAAGGTTAGCAGTTCAAACCCACCAGCTGCTCCTCAGAAACTCTATACAGGGTCACTATGAGTCAGAATCAACTCGATGGCACTTAACAGCAACAATAGGGAGCACGTTTTGCTGAAAAGAAGCCATCAGGAGAAGGAAATTTCAGGAGCAAATACCTTCAGAATCCCTCCTAGACAGACTTTAGTGAGCAGCTTCTTGCGTGGATGGTCTTCTATAACCAGCTCTTTTATCCTGCCAACTATCCCCACAAGGGGATGGTTGGTCCTATTTTACTATAGAAACTGAGGCCCAAGGAGGGGAGATGCCTTCAGAGGTGGCTCCAAGGCCATTCTAGAAACATGAAGGATCATTAACTGGCTACCATTGAGTTGATTCTGACTCTTGGCAACCCCATGTGTGTCAGAGTAGAACTACTGGCTGGGGTTGTCTGGCTATGACTTTCCACAGGAGCAGTTTGCCAGACCTTTCTTCTGAGGTGCCTCTGAGTGGGTTAGAACTACCAGCCTTTAGGTTCGCAGCCAAGCACTTAACTGCGTGCGCCACCCAGGGAGTCCTGAAGGATTGTTGTCATTGTGGTTTAGTTACCAACTCACAGCAGCCATATACATACCAGGGTGAAACGTTTTCTGGTTGTGGGCCCTTCCATAATCTTTGGTAAGTTTGAGCTTACTGTTTCTCTCATTTTCGGTAACCCTCCATCATTTTACCAAACATGATGTCCTGGTCTCTCCCAATGAAGTGTCCAAGCAAGCAAGACAAAGTCCCACCCTCCTTGCCTCCAAGGGGCCTTCTGGCTGAATATTTACAGCAGGGGATGTCAGCCAGGACACCATTAGTATTTGGTTCTGGAATGTTCTCTATAGTAGGGGGCTGCCCTGAGCTCTGTAAAGTGTTGAACAGGATCCCTGATTTCCAGCCCCACGTTGCCAGTAGCACACACCCCTCCAAGTCATAGTACCCCCAAATAACGCCCAGACATTGCCCAGGGTCTCCTGGGTACAAAATCACCATTTGAAAACCACTTCTGATTCTCATCTCAGCACCCCCATCATTTAGTGAGTCTCTGGGGAGTTCCTGAGTGGCGCAAACAGTTAAGGTGCTCAGCAGGCAGTTCAAACCCTTCCAGAGGCACCTTGAAAGCATTGGCAATCTAGTTCTAAAAGGTCATACCGCCTCAGAAACCCTAGGGGAAGTTCTACTCTGCACACATGGGGACTCCATGAATGGGACTTGACTTGCTGGCAACGGGCAGTGGTTTTTGCTGAGCTCCTAACAAAATGCTTCTAAAGAACCAGGAGTCGTGAGAGAATGCAGCAGCAAGTCGATTCTGCATGCCATTCAATTTTTAATCTTCAGGGAGCGTCTTGATAAAAGGAAACCGTTAGGAGCAGTCCAAGCTGGAGTTAGGCAGCAGACACAGAGAACGGAGGAGCAAGGAGGAACTGGGGGCATGGGGACAGTGGGGACCATTGTGTCTCTCGCCTTTGTGTTGGGACTGGATTTGGGGAGGAACTGTCCTTGCCCCTCGTCTTAGATTGAATTGTTACTCTTTCCTTCTGAGATTAGAAGTATTCGATTCTCTTCGTCAAAACTACCCTGAAGGGTGCCCCGGATAAATGTAGTTTCGTATGCTGAGTTATCTCCTCCGTGGGCACGAGATGTCCATTTACCCACAAGCACACACTATCCTGTGTTTGCTCCTCTGGTCTTCATGTGACATTGTCACTTACCTGCTTGGAGCAGACACCACATTCCTGGTCTGTGTTCCTGGGGGGCCGCTCTGGGTGCTGGGAGTCCCCTGTACCAGGCAGCCCGTTCCCTGGTGCAGGCTCCTCACAGCCCTGCTCTCTGCCCTCCCAGACCAAGACACAGAACAAAGGGCCCAGTCTGCGCCCTGCTAGGCTCCAGCCGCCCACCCCTGCAGCTTGGGGCTGCCCCTCCATCTCTTTCTCCTTTTTGTTTCGGCACACAGAGCACTTGGGAGATTAGGCATGATCCAGAAATGCAGACTATGAGTTTGGGTTCTATCACTTCCTAGTCAAGACATTTGGAGCCCCAGCCTGTAGATGAGAAAGAAAGTAGTGATTCAGGCTTACTTAGGCTTGTGGGTTAGTCAGAGCCATGAATAAACTGTCCTCATCTGACTCACACATTAAGTCCCAGCTCTGCCCAACCTCACAGAGGGGTGTGTGTGTGACAGAGTGAGTGAGTGTGTGTGTGAGGCAGAGAAAGACGTAGAGAATGCGTGCGAGCAGGCGCAAGTAGTACAGTTAGGGTGTTCCGGTGCTGCTGCTGTTGGCCACAGGACAGATTTCAGTTTTACATTGTAAAAGAATTTTGAAGGGATCATCCTGCGGAAGAAAGGTCTGACGATCTGCTTCTGTAAAGATCACAAGCAGTAAACCCCTAGGGGGCAGGTCTGCTATGTCACCTAGGATCAGGAAGAGTCAAAATCAGCTTGACAGCATGCAGCAATGGCAGGCAGACTGTTGTTTGTCTTGTGCCATTCCAGCTCATAGCGACCACATGTGTTACAGAGTTGAAGTGTGCACTGTAATAATGTCTTTTGGACTATGAAGGAGTCGGGGTTTGAACCACCAACCTTGTGGTTACCAGCTAAGCTCAACCCACTTGTGACATTTAGGAACCTTGTAGTCAAACTAATAGACTTTGGGGGGCGAAAATGTAGTTC